CTCTGAGGGTTGCGGATGCATTAATTAAAGTGAGAAATCATTGGTAAAATTTATTCGACATTCGCAAATTTATAATGGTTTCTCTTCTTGCACTTGCAAATTTATGCATCTTTCGACACAGTTGAAACACTTGCTTCCTCCAGCGGGACTCCACGAGAGCTCTCACGAGGGTGAGCGTCTATCATGAATGGGGCGCAAAGTTGGTCAAAGTGGAAAATCAGGCAAATTAAGACCGCTGCAGAGCAGCTGGGAGAGGACAAAGCTTCTATTTGTCAACTATATCTAATTATCGTATTGCTCTTGGAAAATTGGTTAGAAATTCAAATTCACTTTTTTGTATTCTTCTATCACGAAATGCAATGAAAATTCTTTCAGAATCCACCTCCTGGCGCAAATTGCGGTTTTCCCACATTTTCAATTATCTTGCGAGAAGCAACTCTCAAGTGCACTCTGGATTTTCCTCAGACTCATTCATGCTTCCATCACTTTGACGTGTGAGAAAAGGGGGCGGCAGAGGTGGTTCTGAATAACGCATTCTGAACAATTCATCCAATATCAAAAAGTTGCATCTTTCATAATGCCTTTATATGTCAAAATGGAAGCATTTATAAAACATCAAGTCATTTCTTGCTTCCTTCATTAATTGAAGTTTAATAATTCATGCACAAGAATGAATCTTCTATGGCTCTTAAGAGGTACATTTCGGGCTTGCGAGAGCCTTTTCCGCCAGAAAGCGGATTCCGCATCTAAACATACGCAGAGTAAATTGAAAATTTCAGGTAGACAGGATGGAATGGATAAGAAAAAAGTTGTGCAATTTGAGGTTTTCCACTGGTGGAAAATCCAACTACGACTGTTGGGGCAAAACAGATGCTCATTAATTGGAAAAGTTGAGATTTTCCCGGTCAAAGTCCAATCTGCTGAATGTGATGTGGCGGTGGGGAAAAAAAGGTGTGAAAGAAGCTGAGAGGAGAGAAGCTTTGCCAAAAAGCTCACCCCGTTTTTTTTTCCCTGTCTGACTCTCACTATTAATTCACCGGCAGCATAATTAATCATCACACATTCATTTATTTTATCAATATTACCAGCCACTCGGCGAAGATTAAGGAAGTAATTATGACCAAAGTATTTGTTGAAATAAATGGTTGAAGTTTTAAAGTTTAATTGGGATCTACTTAAACTGAAATTTAATTTTATATGCGAAATCCACACCCGAAATCATTTGACTTTGTATGCCCTCCCTTAACTCCTCAATCCTTTGTCTTTTCTTGCGTCTCTTTTACACTCTCCGGGTGCCATAATACGAATAATTAATGGAAAGGTTATGGGGTCAGATATAGGGGAATTTCGTATTGCTGGAAGGATTCATGTGTGCGTGTGTGTGTGTGTGGAAAGGTTTGGGAATTGATGAGGGATGTGTACTGTAATTGGGTTAGACCACTGTAATCATTCTTATTGAGGTCGATGTGGCAATGATACTTGTGAGGTGGTCATAATTTGAATTGATATTGTTGCAAAATTCTGAGACACTCTCAAACACTGTGGAATATAAAATGAGAACTCAAGCCAAGTCTGAGATTATGTTTCGATAAATTACCACAATTCAAGCCACAATTTCACATACATTCATGAGATATGGTCAACATATTCCCTATATATAGCTAGAATGTAATCTATATTGCTATTATCTCAATTTCAGCTTTAATTGGCGGTTTGCTGAATGCATTTGACGTAATAAAATTTATATATATTTCACACTGTGAGATTTTCTGAAAACTGAAGAACATTTCATGCCCTCGTGCGACCTGGGAACCCCTTCACCGTCAAGTGATGGCACATTGTGAGCATTTAAGGGCATAGTCACTGCCATTCAAACTACACTATAGAGTCATTCGATGGGAACTCCGTAATGAGGTGTTGTGATTTATGTGAATATATGAGTCAGAACGCTATTAAAATTATAATTATAATTTGAAGTCGTGTCAGTCAAGTGACACTTGTCATTCGGGGAAAATTTTCCCCAGCACTCGTGCGAAATCCTAATTACTATCGGCAGCCACTTGAGCCTTTAATAGAAGCCACAGAAAGAGTGCGAGCAGAGAATTTTATCAATTATCATAGAAAAAGACAGGTCCAAAGAGTGGATAAGTGGCTTTTCTGCCAAATTCAACCCATTAAAAGCTTTTCAGCACTGACGTACTTGCTGACTTTGCCATTTACCCCGTCACGGTCCCTTGAGGGTGGTTCGGGGGCGGACGGAACGCGTCGAGAGTGGAAAGAATGTTCGAACCTGGAGAGTTTCGGGTGTTCCAACAGGTTGTGCAGGTACTGAAGTGACCCAAATTGTTGCGTTATAAATATAATAAATGGATTTCTAATCTCGTCCGCTCATCAAACATCCATTAGGGCATCACGTTGGTGACGAGAAATGAAATTTGACAGATCTTCAGAGAAAGAGGAAGTGCAATTGTCTGTTAATACATTTTGGAGTTGTGCTATTTTTGGACCAATTTCGAGAGACAAACAACAAATCAACAGAGTGCAATCAATTCTGCAACTTGATGAGTGTGAAAAGCTACAAAACGCTGGCTGTGAATGATTTCTCAGTCCGTGAGCATTCACGCGAATCGTGTTATAGTTGGTGTAAGAAGATTTGTGGAGCGAAAGCGTAGAAGTACTGAGCAAAATTTGATCTCACCTCACATTAAAGGTGAGTGTTGAGGTTATCGCAGCTTAAAGACATGACAACCTCCGCTCTTGGTGAAATATAATCCTCCGTGTGACCACTTTTGCACCTCTAAATATCCCAAGCAATGATCCGATGACTCGGTAAACGGGGAGATTCACACCACTCATGAGCTCCATTACCTTGAATTAGGAACACCAATTTGCTACTTCTGCATTTTCCAACTCCGACATGGCCGAGGCGGAGTCCTCAAGAGTGTATCTTTGTTGCATGCACAAGTAATCAATTAGCAGACTCTCGAGTCTCTTTCTGGGTCAATTTCACAGATTTTGTGGAGAACATGAGTATGATTCGTTGTTTTTTTTTCGCTGCGCACATGAAAGTGAATCATTTTATATGGATCGATGGTTCTCATTGTGACTCATGCATGGCAAGATTGCCTACCGTGTCGAATTCTCCAGAGAGTCTCTGTGCGCGGCTCCTCAAAGAGACCACTCCCGGTAAATCCCAGCGACTTGAGACTCCCCAAAAAGTCCAAATTACCGGATGTTGTGCTCAGTTTTTGGGTCAATTGCAGAGCATTCGTCGCGAAGAGAAATTTCCCAATCAATGCCAAAGAAGACAGACAATAAGAATTGAACTACTTCGCCATGCGAATCAATTTTCAGCGCAATTTGCCTGTGGAACTCTAATTGATCGAAAAAGGGCACAACTGTACAGACAATGCAGTTAGAAAGCGAGGTATAATCTTAATGTGGGTGCGGCGAAGCCTCTCCTTTGACAATACTTTCTGGTACAGTTGCTAGATTGTCGTTTTCTTGTTCCTTTTTTTTCATCTTTTGCAGCCGCTGTGCAATATCTGTCTGACTCTTCACTAGATTCACAAACATGAGTTTTGTCAGTTTTGAAGCAATTCAGGCATCATCATCATGCAATTGTAAATGATATTATAATTTCATCGAATGTATTTTCTGATATGTTGTGTGTCACATCAATTCAATGCTGTATTACAAAATTCACAAAATATTTGCTCACTAACCTCATGTAAAATGTACAAATTTAATAACTATTTTCCCACCCTTGTATTTCACAGCACGTATGTAAATATTTCTTAATAGGGTAAAGCGGGGTTTATACAATGAAATTACTATGGGTTATGTTATTGAAATTAATTAAAATCCTTTTGCACACTGCCCAGCGAACTACGAAAGCAAAAAGGCAGATATTTTAGCTAAAAAATGCTAAGCAGTTCAGATCACGAGGGGTGATCACGGATCAAGACTTTGCTTCTTCTCAAGGCTCATGAAGTGCTCATCCATGGGCTGTTTGCATTTAGTGTCACGCAGGCTGTTGCAGAATTATGCTGTGTTCACTCATGTTGCATCTTTGAGCGCTCACTGAATACACTTGTGATGCATGCCGGAGATCAGAGGATCATTCAGACACCGGAGAGGAAATCAATGGACAAAAAGGACTGATCAATTGATGATTGACTCGTGGAGACGTGGCTAAAAGTTGTAGTTCTTGTATATTCTTTTGTGACAATTGTTTCTTCCATTTCTTAATGTCCCGAAGGAGATCCCCGGAAGGATCGAAACGTTGCCAGAAGAGAAAATACAAAAGCAAGTCTCTGTAGACCGAAAATCCGCCTTTTTCCAAATCCTATCGCACACAATGCAGTCATTAGGCAATCTTGTAAAACAAATCATCAATTGAAAACTCTCTCCCTCTATTTCTATAGGTAAATTTCACGGTACTTCCGCTGGAACCTGAAATTTAGTTTGCTGTTGTATAAGAGACAGCTTTTTTGACGATGTCACTGCGAGTCGGTCTGAAAATCGCTTTTTCTTTTGACTGAAGTTGGGAGACAATCTTATTGTTGGGTGGCTGTGATGTGCAAGAGCAGCAAAATGTATTAATCGTGACGCTGTGCTGGGCACAAAGTGAGCGAGAGACCCAAATTCTCAGCGTCGTGCAGCCCCTTTTCCTGCACCGGCGGCTGCGCATGGCCGGAGTCCCTACCATCGGCGGGGGAACAGTGAGGGCGCCGCAGGGGTGGGTCACAGGGTGTTCTCGACACGCCGTGAACTTTCCAGTGGAGTTGACGAGAAAATTGCACGCCTGCCACGGAGTCCAAGATCTTGCAGTGTTGGTGAAACTGAAGGAAAGCCAGCACCGTTGGAGATTGTTCATATATGAATTTCACATCTTTAGCCACCCACATCGAGACATGTTTCACTCACACATGCACCGTATTGTATTCCACTGTGATTTTTCAATGCTGATACGCAAGACGAGTTTCGGGTTCAGTTCCGCTTTAGTCACCAACCATATCGGATGTGCGAGGCCGGGTTTGTTCTTCTCTCAAGTTGAAAAGTTGGTGTGTTGTTGGTGGCTTGCCAACGGTATCGCGCCGATGATATTTCAGTGGCAGATCACTGGCATTCAGGGCACGTTAGCCAAGTGACTTGGGACGAGAAATTTAATGCCCTTTTTCATCATACTTCACCCTCTGGTTCGATAGAAAAAAAAACAGACAGAGAGAGTGTGGAAGAAGAGGGAAAACTGTTTCGGAAAGACCGCCGAGTATCAGTGTTGGGATTTAACGTGGAGGGCAAAATGTGATTGTGAATGGTAGTTTTTATTTGTGAAGAGCGCTGGAGGAAAAAATCACACACAAGACTCCCTATTAATCATAAGAGGATTATACGGTGGAAAATTGTGAAATCCCCGGGTTTGTTTGCTTGGAAAAAAGGCCATTTGAATTTCCTTTCTTCCGCTGTGACCACCACTGAATCGCCTCTCACGTAGTGCAGGAGGAGTTCTAATTTTGGATTACCGCACAAACACACACTCACACACGCATTTCGTAGAAGGATAATGGATAAATGCTGAATAAGGCGGTAGAAAAAAAAAATCATCGTGTGTTTTTTTGTATTCTCAAAAGCGGAACAACTAACATTGGCTCCACGTGAATAATAGAAGGAGAGCAGAGTTGGGGGTGAACTTTCCTCAGCTATGATAGCAATCTGGCCAAAGACGTGGGGGTTGAATGTGCGTGTCTCTTAATCATTATCTCCAATTTGGGAGGACGGCAGTTGTGTGGCGATGCTGGTGAAATTGAATATGTGCGCCAAGGGTATTGGCCGGTGAGCGCCGATGATGGACTGTTGATGGAGTGGTCAGTGATGAGTGGAGACTCTGGGAAAAATTGTTGCACCGCCGCAGGTTGATGATTTCACTGCAATTACAGCATCTCACACGACGAGTTCAAGTGCGTGATTGTGACGTGAGAAATGCACCCTCGGGACTCCACGGAGATGGATTAATGTGGAATGCGGAGTTGTGGATTGTGTGATGCAGTAAACAAGAGAGCGCCAAGAGTGGTGGATTGCAGTGGTGGTTTGTCGCCACTCTGGAGATGCACTAGAGTTTGCCTGGGAAATGATGATAAAATTGGTGATAATGTGAAGGAGATGAGGTGGCATTTTGGGTAAACTCGAATGTGGCATTGGATTATTTGATTTGTTGTGTGGAAAGAGTGTTCTGCAGCACAATGTTATTATTGCGGATTAACAAGGGCCATTTGGATGCTTCGCCTGCAGTGTGCATTTTATCGTCCATCCTCCTGGTACCATTCATTTGGATGTCGGCGCTCACGGGTGCCGAGGGCCGTGGTGAGGGTCTCTGTCCCACAGTGTGTGTATGTAAGTGGAAAGGTGGAAAACAAACTGTCGAATGTATCGATCGTGCCCTGATTACCATACCTGAGCATGTGGATGGGTCCACGCAGGTGCTGGACATGTCTGGCAATAATCTGCAAATTCTGCCCCAGGACACATTCATCAGGACGGGCCTGCTCAATTTGCAGAGGATCTACTTGCGTAGCTGCCGCCTCGGCCAGATACACGATCAGGCCTTCCGCGGCCTCACGAATCTCGTGGAGTTGGACCTGTCGCACAATCTCCTCACGGCCGTGCCCTCGCTCACGTTCGGCCAGATTCCGCACCTCTGGAGTCTCACGATGGCCAAGAACCCCATCCAGAAGATCGAGGGGCGCGCCTTCGCCACCGTGCCGAATCTCGTGAAGCTGGACTTCAGCCACTGCGATCTCCAGTCGATCGCTCCACAAGCGTTCGAAGGCGTGGAGCTCAATGCGCTCAAGCTCAATGGAAACAAGCTAAGTGAGCTTCGACCGCGCACAGTCGACAGTCTGCTCAGGCTGCGCGGGGTTGAATTGCACGATAACCCGTGGGTCTGCGATTGTCGCCTCAGGGCAGCCAAGATTTGGCTGACAGACAACAACATCCCGTATCCAGTGGCGCCGGTGTGCTCAGGAGGACCCGAGCGAGTGCTGGATCGCACCTTTGCCGAGCTCACGGTGGACGATTTCGCTTGCCGACCGGAGATGCTGCCCGTGAGTCGGTACATTGAGGCCACCACGGGTGAGAATGCCACGATCCACTGTCGCGCTGACGCCGTTCCTCCCGCCCAGATCAACTGGTACTGGAATGGGCGACTGCTGGTCAACAATTCAGCCTTCAGTTCCTACCAGAAGGTGCATGTGTACGAGAGCGGGCAGTTTGAGAAGGTGTCACGCCTGATACTCACCAATGCCCAGGAGACTGACTCCTCGGACTTCTACTGCGTGGCAGAGAATCGCGCCGGCAATGCCGAGGCCAATTTCACTCTGCACGTGTCCATGCGACAGGCCGGCATGGTCACGCTGGGCAGTGGCCAAATTGCTGGCCTCAGCGCGGCCCTGATTATACTCATCCTCTTCATCCTGCTCATCATCCTCTTCCTCCTGGTGCGTCTGCGGCGGGTGCCCTTCGTGGACACCAAGACGCCCAATAGACTGGACACCGTGATCACGAGCGTGGGCAATGGCAGTCAGAGCAACAGCAACATCAAGGCGTGCACGCAGAACAGCGTCAACGACGCGGCCGCGGGCAGCGAGAGGAGCCTGGCTGCAGATTTGAAGCACACGAATCCCGTGCAGAAGCCGCCCAGACTCTCGGACATCTCGTACTCCACGACTCACTACGACCGCAATGGGAGTCTGATAGCCGCGGGATCGTGCTTTCTGTCACCCACGGCGTCGGCGGACAACAATCCCGACTTGATCAATGACACGAAGCAACTGGAGAGCGGCGAGTTCCCGGCCGGGGAGCCGGGAACGCTGCCGCCGCCTGTGCTGAATGAAGGGGTGGAAGCCGTGAAGGGTGAGATGTTCGAGCGTCCCGGAAGCGGGGAGTACAGCCGGATGGGGTGTGACAGTTTGTACCCCAGCGGCCTGTGGGAAACATCGGGCGTGCCCCATGCAGAGGAGCACTTCCTGAGGCGCACCGGTGGCCACCAGTATGCGTACAGCGACAAAACCCCTATTATGGGTGGCAGCAGTCACTCGGTAAATTTCGATGACACCGAGCGGGTGGCTTTTCAGGGTGGCATCTCCAATGCCGCGAGGATGGTGAGTGATCCGGCTGGTGTCAACACATTGCACGCCGAGTGCACAAATGCACTCGGCTACCCCCCAGACTATGGACTACCAATTGGCGGTGGCAGCATGGAGCGGAATCAGCCAAAACCACCGCACGGGATGCCGACTAATGCAAAAACAATTAGAGTGTGGCAGCGAGGCGGCGTGCCCGTCCTGCCGCCCGTCACAGCTGCCCTCAAGAGGGCTCTCACGAGCAACAGAAACTCGCCGGATGAGGGCTACCAAGAAGGATGCGGGACGGATGTGTAGTGGGTGTCGGCTGGCAGTCCTCTGTACGTGCACCAACCACCAAATGACCACCTCTGCGCACTGACTCCAGTGCGGGAAAAAGTGCTATGATAATTTGCGATAGAGAGCCCGACAATGTGAGTAGGGGAGAGGGTGTGAAACACAATATTTATACCATGACATTCAAGTATATAAACAGAACGAATACCTTTTTATTCGACTAGGATGAGAGACGGAGTGGTCACACTTAATTAGATGCTTAAGGATTGCGATAGCATTAACAATTCAATAAAGAGAAAAACATGGGGAGAGACGTTATGAGGATTGGGGTGATTTTTAATAATTAAATGAGAAATACGAAAAATGTATGTAATATACTACATAGATAAGAATAATCGTTAGTGAAATACACTATATATTTGGTATCTAATGAGCTGAAAGACGGAAAAGGTGTGGAGAATAGTTAAATACCCAAATGAGGAGAGGACAGTGCCGTGCAAGGAATAGTTAATCGTCTGTTCTACAGCAAAAATTGCAAGGATAAATTTGCATTCAACTGTTTAATTCTAATCAAATTTTAGCATCAGAGCATGCTCCGAAGAAAGAGCGAAATATTCCGTTTTGCCCAACAAATCGGGATAGTCTTTACCAAGCAGAAAGTTTTCTTGACATTAGCGAATTGACGCTTCACTGTTTCTTGCATGGTACTGTAGAAAAAATGAGAGAATTTATCATAATAGGTTTAAAGCAAAAGAGAATCTCTATCTCCAAGAAAGTGGTGAACATAGAAAGACTATTTGAAGTATCAAAATTAGAGGTGGAATAAAAGCAATTTTACTTTCAACGTGAACTGGGGCATTTTAGGAATAATATCGAATTGCTGGGACTGAAAATTACACTGAGAATATCACTATATTATCTATAGAGAGTGAATGCATATCGGAAGTCATTGGGAATGTCAACATTTTGCTGATGTATTATTTGCCAAAGAAATTCACGTGTTCTCCTCCAAATCATATCGACTAGAAGAGACAAGAGAAGAAATTATATTACCACAAGAGGAAAGACTAACGAGACTGAACATTTTAGATGTGTGACATCAGCTCAAGAAGAATAACTGCGGAGAGAAGATGATTTAAAGGAGGTAAAATTAATTTACTGCTAAAATACGTAAATTGATTGGAGATTCGTGGGTGTGAATCCCTTTGCTTCTGTATAAGTGTTATAAACTTTATTTTTAGCAGAAACTTCATCAAGAGCGTTAATAATTGCAAATTAATTATTCAGTGCGAGGTCTTAAGTCTCTCTCTCTCTCTGTCCCTCCTATTTTCAATATTAATTCCATATAATCCCTGAGAAGATTGCTGAGAAAGAGCATCTCTTCATGGTCAGATTCCTTGTGAAATGTAGATCAGTTTTCTTTTGCACGTCTTTTTGCTGGCAAAATACCACATGAATAATTTAAGAGGTGAATTTTGCGTGATTTTTCATGCCTATTTCAATCTCTTTGGCACTGAGGGGAATTTAGAAATTTTCCATTGTTAATTATTTCAGCTGGGAAGAAAGGAGGGCAAAAGCGTGGCACACGGAGAGTTGTATGCTAATTGAAAAACATCCAATTCATTTGGATTGTACTTTGCGCCGCTTCTGCTGGTGAAAAGTATCCCGCGAATAAGTATACAATTAATTTTGCAAGCAGTTCTACAAATTTGACCGACCGGAAGGGATTTTACGAAACATGAAAAGTGTACACAATTTTTTTTTCTACAACATTTTGGAGTGCCCAAAATCAACATGTTTTGTGGTTAAAGCAAATAAATGCTGTGAAGGAAAGTGGTCACAGTGAGAAGTAGAGATATGCGCCAAAGACACGCGATACATTCTCTGCTTATTTGTCTCTATTCTTTGTTACATTTTGCATCGGAAACCTGACACTCTTGAGACGGGAACAAGAGCCCAGGCGAGGTGGGTGGGAAAAAGGCAGCAAAAAGGGAGGATTATGTGACAAGAAATACTCTCGTACTTCTCGCCAAAATAGCATAAGCCCGTGTAACATGTGGTTGACACAGCCAGAGAAAAATCCTCTTTCGCATTGCTTCCCTTCCGACAAAACAGAAGGTATCAGACGCAATTATTGGATCGCTTCCACCCCCACCGGATTGACTTGTGGGATTATATTGATTGAAAAATAGCATTATGAATTTTTCAAACCCATCGCTTTGCCCCGGGAATGATGAATGACGAACAATACGTTCAATTCAATACAATGGCAGTGCTCATATTTCAAAAATTTTCACCACATTGATTCGCCATTTCCGAACTGCTTTTCACCTTCATTGCAAATTAATACTGTATTCAATTCCATTTTTTCGCTACTTTCAATGATTTCTCTTCAGACTTGTGACACGCTCGTAGACGTCCTCGAAGTCTCACGAGGGGTGAATGTAATTAATTCATTAGAGAGGGTGAATATCTGAAAATCAGTTTGTTTTTTTCACACATGAAGCATTCCATATTAATGCCCTCCTTGTTATTGCAGTGTTTCACGCAAAATTAGTTTTCTGTGAAACAAAGTAGCATGAATTAGTGATTTTCACTGATTTGACCGAATGGTGAATCCGGCACAATTCCTCTTTATGGTTTCGTGCTGAAAAGAGTGATGAAGAATTTATTTTGCACCTTTTATTTGTTTACTCAAGCAATATAATACATATTATTAATTCTTACATCGTGTTTCCCACTTTCCTCTCATTCATCACTTTCGAACATCCGCTGATCCAGCGTGCAAAATTTTGTTATAGCATAAATTCGCATCGAAATCATGTGCGAAGCAACATATTAACAAGTTGTTGGCTGAAGCAAATGTGAGATTGCATTCTAATTTTAACGAATTCAGCCACAGAAGTGTGCGTTCAATGACAATGAATTGTTTTATGAGATGGATTTCCTGGATGTGCGATGCCCCTCGGTTGATAGAGTGCACAAATATCCGGTGTAGATACATAATAGCAATATTTAATTTGGTACTTTTCATTTCCCCAACAATTCGACAAACAATATCACGGATATTTGCTTGTGGGAAGTGGAATTAGTTTATGAATAGTAAATATTGTTCAAAGCTTTGATGCCACAACTAGTCAAGGAGGATTGTGGCCAAATTCACCATCTCCAGTGCCACTGATACTCAAGTAAATTGCTTCAAATTCAATTAGAGCACATTTGGGTGGTGTTGTGGAGTATTTTCAGTGGCTAAATGTCGCCTTACAGCAATTTTCTCGGCGATGTTGTGCTGGGGAAAAAAAAGTCGCCGTGAAATTCTTTTATGACTCGCAACATTTTGTTTACCACCATTTATCAACCCACTCATGTACCCCGAAATAGCCCTAAAATGTCTCTCGCATTAGTGTGTGAACGCCGAGGCGGAGAAGGACGAAAATGTGTGCGAATGAGGATAAAAGGCACGTCTCAAATTGACCTTTAATTGGTGTGACATTCTTTCATCTGGAAATTGAGAAAGACATTTAATTCGAGGGGGTGAAAATTCATGCATCACACAAAATAATTTTTCTCATTGTCTTGATAATTTCATTGAATTAATTGTTTTCGGTGGTGGGAAATTCACGCTGAAAATGGATGAGTTGTGATTAACATCGTGGAATTTGCATTGTGATTTGAGGTGTTACTTTTTCTCGTGAGTCGGCACACGACAATATTTATAGCACTTGTTTACCCCCTTGTGTCACTAGAGCTTGAAGAAAATTCTCCCTCACTCTCTCCGTGTTGAGTTTTCCTCAGCACAAAAAGGGGATACAAATGGTTTCAACTAATTATCACATTTGTCTATAAGAATACCAATGAGGGCGTCTTATTTCACACACTAAATCACAAGGAATTGCCGGCGATAAGAATGACGAAAACTATATTATAGGCAACATGCATTGAAGAGGAATTTCTGCTTCATAAATTTCACCCTCCTCAGCCATGGTGTGGCATTTAAATAATCACTTTGCCATGGGGGTGAAGGCAAAAAGCCACCCTCTCCTTCCCAGCTGACCAGCGATTTTCTTAGCAATTAAATGTGCGCATGAAACTTATTCGTGCAGGCACTTGACTTCATTTCTTCCACGCTGATTGATTAATTTTCAGAGGGAATCCCTGACCTGTGTTTCTGGCGCTGAGAGAGTGCTAAAAAAAGACGACGAGAGAGACAAATTGAAGGGTGGTTTTGCGATAAAAATTATTACAGAGCAAACACACAAGGAGTGAATAAACAGGATAACGCAGAAATTACACAAGAGATCTGCGTAACATGCATGAAATATAATGGAAGAGTAATTAAATGTATACAAAAAGCCCTGACACATACATTAGGCTCTATTTTGTTATATCACACAATATATTCTTTGTGAAATATGTCAAAATGTATCTGACGTCATTAAACGAAAATGTTATGTTTGAAAAAAAAGCAAAAAATACAGCGACTACATCGTCGAGAGGGTAGAAACAGAGTGGGGTAAAACATGGAAAGAAATTCCCAGTGAAAAATTGCATGAACCCAATTTTAATGAACTTTTTTTCTTTGGAGAGACTCGCACGCAGAAGAGAACATATCCATTTATTTACTCGTGGTTGTAGCAGAAGATGAATCCTAAGTAGATAGACTGAGAATTGGATTGAGAATAAAAAACCCTTAGAACAATTTTTTAGAGCAATTATTTGTGCACCATTGTTTGCCTAAGATTCTTTTCCCTCACCAACAATACGAATCGGTAATTATTTCCTACTAGAAAAACCACTTTATTTACTATGTCAAACTAAATATGTAAATTAATGCCAAACCTCGTTGAGTAACCGGAAAGCAGATGTGAAGAAAAGCCAGTGTAAGAGTGTAAATAATACCCTAAATAGTGAAGAAAAAAATGTGGTAAAAAGGAATGTAATGTAAAGATGTATGATTTTTTAACATAAATTGATCAAAAATGATGAGATATGAAGTCGATTTGCGGTTAAAATGTACATGTATATAAGAAGAATGATTAAAAGTTAATGATTTATTATTAAACAGGCATAAACTTTTTATTACCACCGCCTTTTTTGTGACCCTCCCACCCAAAATACCCCGAGACTGTCTTACTCAAGCGAACCATTCTAAAAAGTTCCATGTGCGGTTGTTGTTTGTGCTTTGGAAGCCCTCGGTGAAGTGTTTGCTTTCCTCCCTATTGATTGTATGTGAAAATTTTCTTTATATTTGCTGTGCCTTATAATCATGATGTATAGATGATTTTGTAAATACTTCCGATTCCGAGGTTTATTTGCTAGACCTTCCCAATCAAATATTGAAACAAATATGTGTATGTGCTATTCAGATAAGAAAGTTCGTGTGTCACGAGTTGTCGTGTCTCTAGAATAACTTTTTCTAATACATCTGGCAAA